TGCCTTGCTGTGGTAAAGTTGCATATGGTTGTCCCACTAGATGTCTTTGTAATAAAAATCAAGTTATAGAGTAAGTAAAATAGTGTGTATATACATAAAGTAAAAAATAATAAATACGTAACAAACTGTTTTAAAGCGAAGTTCCAATTGAAAAGTGTTTTCATAGAGTTAAATCCTTTATCCCCAAATATGCATATAGCAAATTCTGTGGTTTTTTTTAAGTTACTGTTAAAAATGATTTTAATAAAGTTAAGATTCTCTTAACTTTATTAAAAAACATAAGCTGCATATAGCAAATTCTGTGGTTTTTTTTAAGTTACTGTTAAAAATGATTTTAATAAAGTTAAGATTCTCTAGTTACATAAGCTGGTTTTATCTGCAAGACAGGCTCCCACCCCCTCCCCAAGAAAGATGAGACTGATGAGAATGTATTTTATAGAGTCTTTATTTCCATCAAATTTGTACATTATTTGCTTTCTTTAACTATTTTTTTTGCTAAACCTTCCTTCTCCTAAGAAGGGATTTTATAATCCTAGTGACAGCTAAGTCTCGCTGGTTTTGTCTCTGTGACACACTCACAGAGCTAATTCACCCCTCCCCATATGAATGTACTTAGAGATCCAAGTTGATAAAGCAAATGGAAAACTGCTTAGCTGAAAAGAGCTGTTGTGCTTTAGTTTTACGTCAATGTTTTTATCTTTACAACACATTCACAAAGCTGTCTCACCAGCCTCTCCCCCCACCCAAAACCCTACCTCCCCAAAAAACAGAAGTAACACCAGTAAAATACATTTAAAATTGTTTTTGCTAAACCCTTCTCCTTAGCAGGTTTTTATACTTTCTAGTGCCAACTGAGTGTTCAGTATAGGGCACCAGAGGCTTTTCTTCCTCAGTGATCAAACCATGAAGAGCAGTATTTGGGTTTTCTGCAAAATGCACCATGTTTAAAAGCTCTATACCCAAAAATGTTTCTCTGTGGGCATGTCTATGCAAGACAGTAACTGCACAGTAGCCTAATAATACTGTGCAGTAGTACATCACAGCACAAACAGCGCTAATATGCTACTGCACAGTATTATTAGGCTACTGCACAGTAGCATCACTAAAAAGATGTGTGCCAGGACTACTGTTCAGTAACACCAATGTAGTTCATATTACAAGTACTAAATTTAATGTGCAGTAACTACAGTGCATTAATGAATGTGTACACATGCCCTGTGAGATGAATGCACAGAATATACTGATGGAATAGCATCATTTAAAACACTTTCCACATGCAACTCATTGCAAAGTTCCTGAATTATCTGGTTTCTATCTTCAGCTAATCAGGTAAGACATTAATGACTACCTCGATCACACTCATCAAAAACACATCCCATACATTTGTCAAAAAGCCTCATTCTCAAACAATATTTCATTATGCCATAAAAAAAACATGCATAAGAACTTTCATGACACCTTTACATTCTTGACATGAAACAGGACCTGATAGTTCTCTTCCCAACTTTCCTCTAAAAGTCAAAGGATCATTACCTTCCAAGATATTAAGTCTCTCTCTGTTCTTCATAAAAAAGCAGCTTCTTTTCTCCAGTGTCCAGGTAATGGGTGTGCTGGTGTGTAGGCTTTCTGAAGTCATTAAAAAGGCTTCATCTAACTGCAAAGGGGATTCAAATAAAAAACCTTAGTTAGCCACTTTTTTTCGAGCCTTAGCTAACTCCTACCCTACCATGGTCCCAAACCCCACCCTCCACCAAATCCTAAGTGCCCCCCCACCCGATCCCCCACCATGCTCGAAGCCTCTTACCATCATCTCTGCTCCCTTCTTGATACCTTCCCACACAGGGTCCAGCATGAGGCACCCCCCTCTCCTAAATACTCAACATCTGCTCCAGGAGCCTGGGCCTCTGGCTCACAGGCCTACTACTGCATATTCACATGGGCTTCGTGACCCAGTTCTGGTGTCTCAGGCAGGTGGGCTAGGGGCTGTTCTCTTTGAATCTCCCCCTCCTCCTCAAAACTATTACTATGGTAATGCTTTCTTTGCAGGCATCTGACAAGTTTTGGTGGTGAACTTACACTTACTGGCATAGTGTAAGAATCCATATCTGTCTCTTTCTGCCTTAGCGGAAAAATGCACGGTCCATTTTGGAAAACAGACAGACTGGGTGCTTGTAGTCTAGGTCCCACCCTTCTACTCACTCTGGTTGGTTCAGAACCTTTTTCAGAGAGGCCCAAGGACTTTGAAACCCCCCATTGACTGGTCAAGCATGGTGGGATAGGTTGTTAGAGGGGGCATAATCCCCCACTACCTGATAGGTTTTGCCTGTGCCTTGTGGTCTAGGGTGGGCCCTGCAGCATGAGGCTTGGGCTTTGGGGCCTGATAGGTGACTCTTCTGATGTCATTGGCCATGTGATGGGTGTGTTATGCACCATGTGATGGGAGCAGGGGTTTCTGGGGCCAACATGGCAGTAAAAATGGCTACAAAAAAGGCAGCCTAGGGGGTGGGATTTCAAAATGGCTACAAAAAAGGCAGCCTAGGGGGGGGGATGACTGTTGTCATGCACCATGTGACAGGGGATTGGGGGTGGGGTTTCTGATATCACATACCATATAAGGGGAACAGGGGCAGGCTTTTGGTTCCAAGATGGTGCAGGTGGTGGGCCACCCATCAAAGGTGACCTGAGCTATACCCTATATACTACCAACACAGTTGCTTTTTTATGAGTTCTCCTTCACTTGCACTTTTGGCCAACTGTACTTCTGGATATGACACAAAGTTAATCACCTACAGCCTGCTTGATTAATTTTCTCTTTTTAAATAATAATATTTGCATTTGTATCTGTAGGTACATTTCTTCTCATAAGGACATGGTTGCTTCTTGTGTTCTGGAAAGTGGTTTCTTCCTGAGAAGATTGTTCAGATTTCTGATGATAGCCTAAAGGATCAGCAGGAGGCATGAGTTTTCTTCTCTCTTGTACTGCAGGCACACACTTGGGTAGACTGAGTTTCTCATAAGCTGCCAGATCCCAAATTGCCATTACTTCCCAAGGAACCACAATAAATTGGAGTGTATATTCTCTATATTGTATGCCAGCAATGCATTTCCCTTTCCTAGTATATTTGTTCCTGGATAGCCAGTTATATTGATATATAGTAGACTCACTTTTAGTCTCAGATTTAAATTTTCTATATTTATATTCTAGCAAAATAGTCACCTGAGCCCCAGTGTCCAATTTAACTGAAAACGTTGTTCCTTCCACTTCCACTGGCAGAATCCAGTCTCTCTCATCAATTTTGGTTGATTCCACCATATCTACATAAAACTTCTTTAGTATACTCACAACTGTATAAACTTAAGATATTTATTCCTGGGATCTGCAGTACTTGGCAAAATTATTTATTTTACCAAAGTTATTACAGAGCTTTCCAAATGCACAGTTTTTGCTGCCATGGTGCCATACTTGCTGCATGTCTACCTGTTCGCTGTCTTCCACTCAGTAATCTCCTTACCAACAGAAAAGTCTTCTATAACAGGGCACCGTCTCCAGGGCAGTCAAAAATCCCTGTCATGCATGGCATCCCACCAGGTCTCTGTTATTCTGACAAGGTCATATTCCCTATCTGCTAGCAAGAGTGCCAGTTCCTCCTAGTTATTCCCCATATTCCTAGGATTTGTGTATAGACACTTAGGTCCCACATTGGTAATCCCCAGTTCCCCATTGCCCCGGTATTGTTCTGGCCTCTTGACACTTCCTTGACCACCCTCTCTACATCCTTCCTGCTTGGCTGTCCCCCTGGCTTGCATTCTCATCTGCACGCACATCCCTCAACACACTTAGTTTAAAGCCCTCTCCAACAAGTCAGCCATCCTGGAAGAAACCAGTTTCTTCCCCCTTGGCATGAGGTGGACAGGTCAGGTTTCACTCCTTCTGCAGAGATGATATCCCTTATACAAGTCAGTAATGACACCCAGTGCATACTTCACTCTATTCAGGTTCAAAGTTGAAGCTGTAGTAGCTTCTAATACTTTTAAAGCCTGGCATCATTTTTTTTGGTAGAGCCCTAAATGATAATTCCAGGAACATATTCATAAATCACATGTACAGTTTTATGATATACCTTAGGAGCAGAACCAATGTAACGCAGATGCAGAAATCTGTACCTTCCAAAGGGAGCATAAAATATATATAGTATACATTTTTTTTTATGAGTTTCAGCTGCCAGAATCCCAAGGAGTCATCCGATTTTCTGAAAATCATGCATTTGTGAATTGGGTCAAAATTTCTCTACTCAGCCATTTAAAGTATTCTTACTTGCTAACTTTATTGATGTGTTTTATTTATTAACTTTAATAATATTCATATATCTATGCATATATGCAACTGGCCTTTATTTTTCTCCACGATACTGTGGAACTTACCCATTCTGTAAATTCCTGGATTTTTTGTATTACTTGTCATTTTTTCTGTTTTTTGCTAATTTTGCATTAAACCTATAGTGAAAAGCAAAAGTCTCTTTTCTACATGGATAAATAGTGGGAAGCACTTTTTTATTTATCTGTATTTAGGTTCACTTGGCAAGCAATGCAGCCCTTCAAACAAATCCTCGTTCTATAATATGGGTGTCTCATATTCCATGTCTGTCTTCTTGTACTGCAAACACACATAAAACTAGACTAAGGTTTTCACATGCTGTCAGACCCAAAATTGGTATCTCCTCCCTAGAATACAGAATGAATGGGACTCTATGTACTTTGCTTTTATATTGGATGATATATTTTTTCCTGAATAACTAATTATGTTGATGTCTATTGGACTTTAGGCTTTATGTAGTAATATCTGAAATTAAAATGCTGTTAAATAAGTATGTAAAGAAGATTTCAGATTTTGTTCTAAAAGCATGATGTATATTCAATATGAGGAATGGTTTCCTAATATGTAGTCCAATCATCATTTGTGTCAATACAATTCAGTGACCAATATTAATTATTTTTAACAGGTAATTGAAGAAATTGAGGAGATGATGCAAAACTCCCCAGACCCTGAAGAGGAAGAAGAGATCTTGGAGGAGGATGATGGAGGAGAAACTTCATCTCAGGCCGATTCAATTCTTTTGCAGGAAATGCAGAATTTGACACAGACCTTTAACAACAATTGGTCCTATGAAGGTAAGAATGTATGGTAAGGGCCATTAGATGTTTCAGTTTGGGTTCTGGAATTTTTTTAATTATTGAGGTTGGCAGGGGTGCTTACAATGAAGATAACTTAAGCCCTCTCTTAAGGCCCTGTTTTATCTGTATCATATCTCTCTATAAAGTTGTTATTCAGTATGGTGTTTTTAACTCTTAAGCTTGGTTATGAGTTGTGAGAGCTTACTATAGTAAACAAGAAATGAAAAAAAATCAAAACTTTTGTTTCAACTGATTTAAAAAACTAGTTCTGAACTCCAATATAAGTATCCCCCCAAAAGATATTTACTTCCTTCACAGGGGAACTGTGACACTTGAGAAATGATTATGGAACATTTTTATTCTATTATACAAGGCAGAGCCATGCAGTGAGACCTTGCTTAGCTCTGTGTGTGCAGTAGTCTCTGAACTGAAAGCAGTGATGCCAGGTTCACACAGAGTAATTTGCTCATTAGAGCTGGACACACAGAGACCCTAAATAGCTTGGCTATCCCCAATCTCCTCACAGCTGTGAGGGAGATGGCCCAAGAACAGAGACAGCTTCTCCCACTTTCCAAGGCTTGGAACCAGCCCCAATTTCCCCACAGCTGCAAGGGAGGTGCTATGGAGCCAGAAAAGTTTCCCCCCACACCCTGAAGCCCAGGCCTGAGCCATGTGTGCCCTACTAGCCCAGGGATGGCATCCGGGGGAGGCTGGAGCTCCCCCTCACTACTACAGGGGAGTAGAGATGGGCAAGAGCAGCCCTGGAATGAATTGCCTCTGGTTGGAGTAAATTTGCTGTGAATGTTCAGATTCATGTCCAGGTGCAGTTTAGTGCACCTGAATTTTCTATGCAAAAAATTCAGGCACATTTATTGCATGTGTAGATGCACCCAGTGTAAAGCTCCTCCACAGATAGTTTGCATGGTGTTTTTCAGATGACAGGGAAAAATTCCATACCAGTTTTCAGAAATTGAGATAGTGAATGTGAATTAGGTTCTACATTCCAGCAAACTTGTGTTGCTTTATATTGTATCCTATTATGTATAGCATATTATAATTTTTAAGCTATTATTACAAGCCATTGAAGAATGCCCCAAATGCAAAATTAAGTTTATTAACAGAAAATTCCATTAACACAGAAAGCCACCCAACAGTCTACTAAGCCTTTCCAGAATACTGAGCTCAGCACCACTCAAAATTCTTGTTAGACTTCATCTAGAACATTATGGAGAAAAGTTGGAGAGGATCCAGAGGATGGTAGCAAGAATTATATAGAAATAAGAAGGTAAACTACATCAGGGAAGGATGAGAGAGGTAGGTATGTTAGTCTTGAAGAAAAGGAGATTAAAGGGGTGGACTTGTAATAGCAATTTTAAAATATTCAAAAGTTTGCCCTACAGAAAAGGGAGAACAACTTATTTCCCTTCCTGCAAAAGGCAGGACACAAAGCAATGGTTTTAAGTTGTAGCAAAACAGATTTAGATTAGATCTCAGGAAAACTTCTTGAAAATATTTATGAAGCAAAATACTAATTTCAGCAGCAGTGGCCTATTTGATATTTGCTGGCAGAACATTTACAAGCTGCAAAATATTTGCCCAGTATCATCTGTTTGCACTTCTGTTTTTTAATATATGTGCATCTCTTCTGATCATGAAAGGTTTGGAAGAAATGTCATTTTCTGAGCTGTCAGAGCTCCTGGATCGTGTTGAGGGTGCTATACGTGACTATTCAGAGGAGCTGGTGCAGCAGCTGGCCCGGCGAGATGAGCTGGAGTTTGAGAAAGAGGTGAAAAACTCCTTCATCACAGTGTTGATTGAAGTACAGAACAAGCAGAAAGAACACAGAGAGATGATGAAAAGGAGGAGGAAAGAAAAAGGGCTAAGTCTGCAGAGCAGTCGAATAGAAAGAAGCAACCAAATGCCTCTCAAGGTATGTGTGAATTTCCTGTGTAAAGCAAGACATTGGAAAATGACAATTATAATCCTGGCTATTGTAGTCAACCTGTCCCCTTTGAGAGATGGGAAAGGATGGTGGATTCCTAACAAACATGATATAATTTGCAGCATTGTTTGTCAGGTTTCTTAATTTCTTTCCTTTTCCCTTTAGAGGGAGATAGATGCACCTATTTGCCATTCTGACCTGGAATCCAGTGAGGTGTACTGCATGCTTTGGAGCTTGAATTAAGGATGTCACAGAAAGATTTCTGGAGTTTAGATCTGTCCAATTGGTGCCCTGAGGAACACTTGTGGCCTGTCAGCAATTAAATTGTGGCCCACAAGCTTGTCAGTGCAGCTGCCAGAGCTGCTGCACTGACAAGCTTGTGGGCCGCAGCTCTGGAACTCAAGGGGTGAATGCCAATGCTACTTGCCACACACCCCTTTGCATTCTGCTGAATTTGAAGTCTTCAGTCACCACTGGTGACTCAAGTCAGGGCAGGGGCACTTGGAGGGCAATGACATTCATCCCTTGGGTGCCAGAGCCCCACTAATGTAGTGGATCGAGCAACCATGCTCACAGGAACATCAGAGGTGGTCCAGATTCTGCCTGTAGGATCAACTAAGTTGAACAGCCCTGCTGAAACTCATCCATCCCTAAAATCACTAATCCTTCCTTCTTGCTTATCTGATTTTGGGTTCTTTGACATTGGACTGATGTCCTAGAGAATCTGATTTATTGTTTTCAAAGGTAGGTTCTATCTGATGGAGATTGGAAAGAGCATCTTTGGGCATCACCTGACTAATCTGGGAAGGAAGACTTTTAAACAAAGTCCTTATGGCTATGTCCAGACAAGCATGGCCATGAAGTATGTGGCACCACAGACATGTCTGCAGTGCCACATACTGCACTTTCAGCTATTCTCTGCACAGCAAGGGAGCAGTGCAGGGCATTTTTTGTTTGTTTGTTTGTCTTAAACCATACCAAAAACCACACAAGCTCAGCAGTGCTACGTTCATGAGCACCAAGACCGAAAGAGACTTGGGGTCATGATTGACCACAAGATAAACATGAGCCACTAATGTGATGCCACAGCCAACAAAGCAAATAAAACGCTGGCTTGCATCTACTGATGCATCTCAAGCAGGACCCAAGAAGTCATCCTCCCACTTTACTTGGCCTTGGTGAGGCTGCAGCTGTAGTACTGCATCCAGTTCTGGGCTCCACACTTTAGAATGGATGTGGAGAAGCTTGAGAGAGTCCAGAGGAGAACCACACGCATGATTAGAGGTCAAGAAGAACAGGCCTTATGAGGAGAGGCTGAGAGGCAAGGGTCTCTTCAACCTGGAGAAGTGAAGCCTCAGGGGTGACTTTGTGGCAGCCTCTAAGTATATAAGGGGTATGCATCAGGAACTGGGAGAATGTCTGTTTACCAGGGCACCCCAAGGGAAGACAAGGTCTAATGGTCACAAACTGCTGGAAGACTGTTTAGGCTGGACATAAGGAAAAACTTTGTTACTGTCCTAGTCTCCAAAGTCCGGAACTGACTCCCCCGGAAGTGGTGCAAGCACCTATTATGGATACCTTTAAGAAACACTTGGATGCTTATCTTGCTGGAGTGATCTGACCCCAGCTGACTTCCTGCCCCTTGGGCAGGGGACTGGACCTGATGATCTCATGAGGTGCCTTCCAGCCCTAATGTCTATGAACAAAACCCTGGAGTGGCACATGTGGGAAAAGCATGCACCATTCAAAATAGGAGGCTGGCTGGCCAAAGCCAGAGGGCATATGACACAGGCTTTCCCTAGGGACAACTAGCAGTAGCACAGTGTCCCACTGCTAGTCATCCTCGGGGAACCAAACATCCACTCTCATGTGGACACAGCTTATGAGAGATGGTGAAGAAAAACCCACCAGCCACAGATGAGTGTGGCTGTATGGTATGTGGCACTGCAAACACATTTGCAGAGCCACATACCACACTGTCTGACATTCTCCACACTACAAGGGTGCACTATCCATGTATGCGCTGCTCCTGTTTTTTTTTCCCCATGGATTTTTTTGACCCCTGGGTGTCCCGAGACATGGGGACTAAACATGATGCAGAGCTGGCCCAGCCTTCTAGTGTGTGTCGTCAAACAGGACCAGGGCAGCTCCTGCTGCCTCCCAGGGCTTCTGGCACTGCAAGCAGGAGCTGCACAGCATCAGGCCAGGCTGGATCCTGCCTGCTGTGCTGGGAGCTCCAGGTGGCATCAGGAGCCAGCCTGGTCCTGCTGGAAGGTGTGCGCCAGAGAGCTAGGCCAGCTCCATGCACCACACAGAGCCCTTGGGTCTCAGGCAGCACCATGCACTGCTTGGGGGTCTCTCCCAGTAGTGACCCATGAGTAATATGAGGACCCACTGCTGCCTGCTGCTGCTGCAGGTGGGGAATTTGTGCCTGGGGAGGGTGGGTGGGGGACACAACCTTTCCACACAGTCCCTGCTTACTAGGGACAGAGTCTGGGCCTCAGCCACTTCTGCCAGCCATGTCCCACTTTTATTTCCTACAGCACGCTAAAGGCAGCATGCTGGAACAGCAGGGGCATGTGGCAGTCATAGAGATGCTCTGGCCGGATGCTAGAGTATTTTTGGAGGATCCAGCCTTCAGTTTCTTTGGGGCATGTTCTGGGAGTGCACCCTGCACTGCTTTTTTTCTGGCATAGTTTCTCTTGGTACTGGGATTTCCCAATATCAGACTTTGAGTCCATGCTGGGAACATTTTTTTCTTTCATGCTGTCCCTCTTGTGGCATCTCAGATTGCTCTGAGATGCCACAGCAGGCACATGCTCACTCATGTGGATGCAGCCAGTATATGTAAAGAAAACTATAATTTAATTGACATTACAGAAACTTTGTTGGAAAACTCCCATGCCTTGGAATATCAACAATAAGAGGTATAGCTTGTTTTGGAAGGACAGGACTGGGGGAAAGGAGATGGTACTGCTCTGTAAGTGTACCTGGATGAAGAGAAATCAAACAAACATGTTATAAGAAAATTCATGATTTTAAGAAAGGAAAGGTGTGAGGTCAGCAGAACAAGGATAATGGGTTTTTAGAAGGGCAGATTTTAACCAGCTCAGAGAAATGATAAAGTCACATATATAGACTGATTTAATAAAGAAAATTACTTTCAAGGAACAAGCTCCAGGACATGGTTCCAGGTGCTCTCCACAACTCTTGAACCAGAAGTAGTTTACATCACATCATTTACAGTTCCAGTTAATAAATAAGCCATTGTACAATACTGCAACACTGGCTGCATCTACATGTGCAACTAACCAGCAGGCAGCCCCCACATTGTAACACCCTTGTACCCCAGCCATCCCCATCACCACCTACATATGTATTTCACCACATGTAACTACTCTGAGTGAATTAGTTTACAGCCTCCTAATATGGCCCCACGCCTCCTAATATGGCCCCACCTTTAGATGGTGACACTTTACTGTGGAACTAATTAGTAGGGCTGTGCGAGGCTTCGGACAGAGCTTCGGATCCAGAGAAGCTTCGGATGCTTTGGGGTCTAAAGCAGCATGTCCAGGTCAAAGCGCTGGCCTCATTAGGCTTCCCAAAGTGGTTCGGAGCTGCCTCGGAGATACGGCCATAGGGTATAATGGGGAAACAATAAAATATCTATAACTTTGTTGTTTTTTGTTCGATTTGGATGAAATTTTCAGAGATGGTGGACTCTGGAGAGCGCATGAATCCTGCCAAGTTTCAAGAAGATTGATGCAGGGGTTTGGGGGGAACAGCACCCCAAATTATTGAAAGCAAAACTCATGTCACATCTAGGTGTTACTACATAGGGGGGGTGAAAACTGCAGGGGTGGTATCCTATGCTGAGGCCACAAAACTTGCCAAGTTTCAAGAATATCGGTGCAGGCGTTTGGGGGGAACTGCCCCTCAAGCTTCTTGTGCAACTGTGTCGTTCTTGGGGTGGGGAGTGGGGAGACATTGCTGCAGTCCTGGCTGCTAAGCTACTGTGTTATCAGTTACCAATCAATCATGATTCACTCAGGGACCAGCTCAATACACAGGACCTAGCTAATGTAGCCAGTTAATTGCTATCAATTAGCACCTACGAAACCAGGCTAAGGAGAGGAAAGAATCAATACAGACAATCAACTGCCCCAAGACAGACAGAGTCAGTCCCACAAACACCCATGGCACGAGTTTTGTCTGTGAGCAGCTAGGGGTGCAGGGCCCCAGAACCCCACCCTGCACCGATTTCCTCAACAGCTGGCAGGCGTCATGGTCTCAGCAGGGGCCACCATCCCTGAAGCTGTCACCCGGCTGCGCCTTAACACACGCAGTGTCACCCATGTCATGAGTTTTTCTTGTCCGCAGCTTGAGGTGCAGCTCCCCCCAAACCCATTCACCAATCTTCTTGAAACTTTTTAGGCTTTGTGGCCTCAGTAAGAGCTACCACTCCTGCAGTTTTGAACCCCCTGTGGTATAACACATAGATATGACAGGAGTTTTGTTTTCAAGAATTTGGGGTACAGTCCCCCCCCAAAACCCCTGCACCAATCTTCTTGAAACTTGGCAGGCTCTGTGGCCTCACCGGGGGCCACCACCTCTGCAGTTTTCACCCCCCTGTGGTGTAACACACAGCTGTGACATGTTTGGCTTTCAAGAATTTGGGGTACAGTTCCCCCCACAACCCTGCACCGATCTTCTTGAAGCTTGGCAGGTTCCATGCTCTCAGCAGAGGCTACCAATCCTGCAAATTTCATCCAAATCGGACAAAAAACAACAATGTTATAGATATTTCATTGATTCCCCCATTATACCCTATGGCCAGATCTCCAAGGCGGCTCCGAAGCTTCGGAGCCGCTTTGGCCGGATTGAGGCAGAAACCCAGTCCGGAGCTCTGGATCAGATCGCTGCCATCCAAAGCAGCAGGATCTGAAGCCGGATCGGATAACTGCCGACTCACACAGGCCTACTAATTA